ACACTTAGACGCTTTTGTCAGTAGGCGGTTCTCACTCAGTATTTTAAAAACTGCTTCGATGTCCTGTAAGTGCTGTGCTCTGTCAGGGCTGTAAATCAGTATGTCGTCCATGTATACGATGACGCACTTATCTAAGAGCGGGCGGTGTTAAAGTTTAGAAGAAAGAAGAGGATTGCACTAGCAAGAATGGGGATACAAATAGCAAAACCCTAGAAGAGTTGTACTCGCTATAGAGCACCCCACTACAGGCTAGAGCATAATATTCTGACACACCCCCATAGCCAAAGTGGGGTGTAATCAGCAGAGCAAGCAAAAGAAAACAAGCTCAGGGTGGATCACAATGTCACCACACATTCTGAGCACAAGTACAAGAGGTAGCAGTTTTATAGTTAACAAATATAAGCAAAGCTAGAGGCTATCACAGAGGGCAAGTGAGGAGGAGGAGAGACTGTGGGGGAGAGAAGATGGGAGGCGACTGCTGACGCTGCAGACACACAGACGAGCTGCTGGCTCAGTGGCTACCGGAACAGCGCTCCGGACTACTGGGGTAACTGGCCCCGCGGCTAAAAGTAGCGGCAGACGAGCAACGGACCCACGGGCGACTGGCGACTACCGGAGATTGTAGCCTCCGGACTGCTGCTGCTGCTGACGACACGACGACCGCCTCCATTCAACCTCCCCCAACTGTCCCACCCCCATTTCACACACCCCCTGTTCAAACCCTAGCTCTACTCACACTCCACCCCCCTAGCACCACTCCGTACACTCCCACACATCCACCCCCCTCAGCGATAGCTGCAGCAGTGGGAGACGAAGGAGGAGGAGGAGCAGGCGACGCCACACACCCGCCACCCCCCAACCGCCACCCCCCAACCGCCACCCCCCAAACCCTAAAAACAGGGTAGGGAGGTAGGGGGGGGGGGCAACGCGCGGCCCCCTCCCCAGGGCGCCGCGACGGGCGACGGGAGTTGGGCCGGGGCAGGTCGGGGCCGGGGCAGGTCGGGGCCGGGGCAGGTCCGGGACGGGGCGGGGCAGCAGGGGCCGCGCACGGCTCCCCTGGGCAGCGCGACGGGGCAGCAGGGCCGCGCGACGGGGCAGCAGGGGCCGCGCGCGGCTCCCCTGGGCAGCGCGACGGGGCAGCAGGGCCGCGCGACGGGGCAGCAGGGGCCGCGCGCGGCTCCCCTGGGCGGCGCGACGGGTCCCCGTCGCCCGTCGCAGCGCCTCCCGGGGGCGACGCGGCGAGTGACGGGGCAGAAACCCGTCGCGCGCCTCGGGGCGCACGGCGGGCAGAAAACCGCCGCGCGCCTCGGGGCGCACGGCGGGCAGAAAACCGCCGCGCGCCTCGGGGCGCACGGCGGGAAGAAAAACTGCCGCACGCCACGGGGCGTGCGGCACAGAGAGTAGCAGTAGCAGTTGCAGCGGAAGCAACAAGGTGGTGAGCCCACCCACAGGATCGATCCAAGGGGATCGACCTGCTCTGATAGCATGTTAAAGTTTAGAAGAAAGAAGAGGATTGCACTAGCAAGAATGGGGATACAAATAGCAAAACCCTAGAAGAGTTGTACTCGCTATAGAGCACCCCACTACAGGCTAGAGCATAATATTCTGACAGGCGGAAAGCCTCGTTCATGGTCATTTGAAAAGTGGCGGGGGCGTTGGTCAGTCCGAAAGGCATGACGGTGTATTCGAAGGATCCGTAGCGTGTTCGGAATGCGGTCTTAGGGCAGTCGGGCGGATTGACGCGAATCTGGTGGTAACCCCCGCGGAGATCGATTTTCGAGAAAACCAGGGCTGTGCGCAGTTGGTCGATCAGTTCGTCGGCTCGTGGGATGGGGTAACGGGATTTGATGGTAACCCTGTTCAGTGCTCTGTAATCTATGCACATGCGAAATCCCCCGTCTTTTTTCGGTGTGAACAGTATCGGTGCTGCGAAGGGCGACGAACTAGGGCGAATGAATTCCTTCTCGAGCAGGTAATCGAGCTGCTTCCTTAGTTCGTCCAGTTCGGGCTGGGTCAGTCGGAACTGTCGCTGTACTGTTGGCTGTGCCCCCGGTTCTAACTCTATCCTGTGGTCGTGCGGTCGCTGAGGTGGCAGTCCCGTCGGTAAATCGTCCGGGAAAATGTCGCTGTACTGCTTCAACAGTGCTGCCAGGTCACTCGGTACGTCGGCCAGCAGTTTCTGTAAATCCCCTCCTTTGTCTGCTGCCTCGGCTTCCCGAATGTCGACCGCGTACACGTCAGCTCCTGCCGCTACAGCGCGTTTCATCGTGATCGCGTTGACACGCACCGACGAAGACTCAGGCGAGCCCCAGCGAGGTAAGGCGATGTTGTTACCGTTCACTCGCACGGTGCAGTCACCCATCGTCCAGTTGATTCGCGGATTGTGTCGTCGCAACCAATCACGCCCGAGTAGAATATCGGTTCCGTCGAGGGTCGTTGCGAGCATTTCCTGGCTAAATGTGAAGTTACCCCCGCATCGAATCCGAACCCGGTCTACGCGTTCCCGTATTGCTAGCGGCGTGCCGTCTACCAGTCTTGCATCGATCTCAGGTAAGCATTTGTCCAGTGGCAGTCGCAGTTTTCGTGCTGTGGCAGTGTTGATGAGGCTGTGGCTGGCTCCCCCGTCTACGAAGATTTTTACTAAGTCCATCCCGATTTTCCCACTAAGCAGTATGGGGCTGTCTACCGTAGTACCCTCCTTATTCGGCCGGGTGTGGTCGATTGCGTGAACCGGCACAATCACTCGGTGAGGGTCGGTTCGGTCGGGCGAGCGGCGTGACCTGTCAGTAGAGGGCCCGTCTGCTACTGACTCCCAGCGTTTCCCTGCTGCTTGGTCTGTTTCTGCTGCTCAGCTTCCCCCTTTCCCTTAGCGTTTTCCGGGCATTCGTTCTTGCGATGTCCCGGCCGATTGCACGCAAAGCAGCGCCCTTTGAATGGTGCGGCAGCGACATTTGCGGCGACGGCACGTATCGTGGCGTTCTCGTTCGTCCCACGAGGCCGATGTCCCCAATGGCTGCTTCCGTAGGACCCCGGTCTCGGTCGGCGGAAGAAGTCAAGTTTCTCCGCCATAGCGAGAATCTCTTGAAAATCGGTGACGCCGCGAAGCTGGATTTCCTGAGCGATGTCCTGCTTCAGGCCGCCGATGTAGCGGTCGATGCGCTCGCTCTCGTGCATGTATCCCACCTGCTCGCATAGCGCCAGAAACCCGCTCGTATAATCCTGGACGGAACCGAGTTGGCGCCAAGTGCGGAGCCTCTGTCGCGCCGTGATCGAAGCCGCGATTGGCTCGAAACGAGCGCGCAGACCTGCGCACCACGCGTCCCACGTGCGATACTGGGGCACCTCCACGAAATACGACGGCGCCCTGGGTCCGGTTTGTCCTTCCCGTGTCGGTAGAGTCGCGTAGTCCACCGGCTTCGTGACGATGACGCGCCACCAGTCCATGGCGGGTCCTCGCAGCAACGACACGGCGTAGCGAATCTTCGCCGTATCCTCCGAGACGTAGTTCGCGTCGAAGAAGACATTCAACGTGAAGAGCCACGCCTGAACGGTAGGACCACCCCGCTGACTTGGGTCAAAGCATGGCGGACGCTGCGGCTTTAACGGCATCGGCGACGGAAGAGTTGATCCGCCTGCCGGCACCGAAATCGTAACTTGAGGCTGCGTTCTGGCCGCATTCGTCGCGTCGGGGTGTGTCGTGCCGTGGTCGTCGTCTCCGTCATGGCGGACGACGCCATCACTTGCGGCGCTCGCGGGTTGCCCCACACTCCCGTGCTGTGATGCTTGTGGTGCGGGCTGAATCGGAGTGCCAGGTGCTTGGGATTGTGCTCGTACGAGGTCGTTTTGCAGGGACGAGCGTTCTGCCGTCAGCGTCGCAATTTCCTCGGCGCTCTCGCGGATTTGTTGCAGCAGATCGTTCAAGTGCTCCTGCGTGAGAGTCGTGACGTCGATGTGTTCAGCCATTTCGAAGGGCGTCGGCTCGTCTTAGTCTAGGCGCAGTCGTGGCTGCACGCGTTTACGAGAGAACGCGAGGACAGCGGAACCTAGGTGCTAAGGTACGTGAGTCCCTTCGAGTGAAAAATCAAAAGTGGATTTCCTGGGGTGCGGAGATGCGCGGTCCGAAAGAAAGGGGCTCTGATAACCAAGTGTTACGGGTGCAATGAATCGAGGTAGCGAGAATTGCACTAAGGTGTCAAACGAGTACAAAGATGTGAGCGAAGGCATGAGCGAACATTTATATGCGAAACATGCAAACGGTAACGCGGTGCGTGCGAGCTAGCTAGTGCTATGCTGGCAGCGAGGCTCGGGCTAGTCCCGAAGCGTAGGCCGACACGGCCGGGCCAACAGTGCGAGGTTTGGCAAAACAGTGCGCGCGAAGTTGGCGAAGTCCCGTTAGCAGTAACGGGCGAACAACGGTTGTTGCCGTACGCGATGTAGTCGGGCTCTGTAAGGAATGCCGATAAAATTCCTTACATTTGGAAACAACCTACTGCAACAAGCTCTCACTGCTGCTAAGGAGACAAAACGGGGTATTCCGAGAATTGAACTCGGGACCTCTCGCACCCTAAGCTAGAATCATGCCACTAGACCAAACACCCATGCAATACGAGGTACAACTAGAAAATTCAAAGTTCAAACCAGACCAAAGTTTGCATCTTCATTCTTCGCCCTAACCTCCTGCCAGCTACTCAGCACCTGCAGCCCTCGCTTAGGGTTACTGACTGATGCGGTGCCGCCACTCGCAAAGCGCCACCTCAGCGCCACATCGCACGGGTCGGCATAGTCGATGCCCACTCTGGGCCCAATCAGTACGGAGGCGACAGGTGGTGCATCTAAAAGCTCCAACCCCCCTGCAACCAATAAGGATACGGAACGTGAACAGTGGTTGGGTGAAAATTAATGAACTTTGGGAATCACTCTACAAGAATGATGGGAGCAGTGCTTATTTCTATCATGAAAAGCAGCCCTCAAAGCACTCATCACTACATGCAAGCACTTACCCGGTTCGTGCAGTGGATGGTGCGACCACTGTGTTGTCAGGGCCAGTGCTGCTGCCACCTGCACAGCACACAACAGCACGGTGTGTTTCATTCTTTCTACGCGGCATGGCATGGGCACGGCATGGGCATGGCATGGGCATGGCATGGGCACGGCATGGGCATGGCATGGGCCGCAGTGATGCAAGGAGTGAGGGTTGGGGTGCTGGGGAGGAAGCTAGGTGGAAATGACAAGATACCAGGATTGGGAGATCGGGAAGGGGTGGCAAGAAGAGTGGGGGATGGAAAATGCGTCTCTCAATTCAACCTTTCACCTTTTTCCCTCCCTTTCTTGCACCCTTTTCCTGCTCCACCCACACATTCTCACCTCCCCCCTTCACCTTTCCCCTTTCCCTCTCAAGTGCCTCTGTCCCCCTCACCTTTCCCTCTCAAGTGCCTCTGTCCCCCTCACCTTTCCCTCTCAATTGCCTCTGTCCCCCTCACCTTTCCCTCTCAATTGCCTCTGTCCCCCTCACCTTTCCCTCTCAATTGCCTCTGTCCCCCTCACCTTTCCCTCTCAATTGCCTCTGTCCCCCTCACCTTTCCCTGTCAATTGCCTCTGTCCCCCTCACCTTTCCCTCTCAATTGCCTCTGTCCCCCTCACCTTTCCGGGGCCAGCCAGCAGAGCAGGAGTCAGGGGTTGGTTCCCTCTCCGCTCCCTGATCGTGGCAACACCTGCATGCAGGTGAATGGAGCGGGTGTGTGTGTGTGTGTGGTATGGGAAGAGGGAGGGTGTATGGGGGGGAGAGTAGGAGGGAAAAGAGAGTAGGGAAGACAAGACGTGATTTATGAGTCGACACAAAAGTCACTGGGTAGAGTCGGCCCTTGGGGTGTCTCGAAAGCACATGGAGGGAGGGAAAGTGCAAGAAACTGGATGCGGAGGAAAGGAAGTGGGAGGAAGGGAAGAGGAAGCAAGGTAGGGACGACGGGAGCAGGAAAGGAGGAAAGAAATGGTGGAGTTTTAGTTCAGGCGAGGAAAAGGAAAGAAAGAGAGGAAGGGGGGTGCGGTAGACTAGGGAAGACCCGAAAAGCAAGGAGTGCTTTGTGAAACGAGGCTGAAACCGAAAACAGCAAGAGCCCTCTTGTCCCCCCCTCTTCCCTCCCCCCATCCCCGCCCCCCCACTCCTCACCTGCCACGGCCTCGCATGCGCGCACAAGGCACGCAGCCGCAGTGCCGTCCCTATCTGCTGTGATGTTGAGCATGTGATGCAACCCGTAGCACAGATACACGTACGCTCGCCCTGGAGGGCCGAACTGGGAGGAGAGAGAGGAGTGAGGGTAAAGAGATGAAAGAAGGGGGAAGAGGGGGGAGGAGAGAAGAGATCTGTGTGAGCATGTGGTGCAGCCTATAGCACAGATAAACGCACGCGCCGCCTGGGGGTCCGAACTGGTGGTGACATGGGGAGGTGGGTGGAGAGAGGGTGGACACTGGAGAGAGGGTGGACAGAGGGTGGACGGACTAGGGATGAGAGGGAGGGAAAGCAAGGACTGTGTGTGCTGTGATGTTAAGCATGTGGTGCAGGCCAGAGCAGAGGGGCGCAGACGTGCAATTGACACGAGTGGCAGCAGGGCACAGCGCAGCAGGGGTCAGCGCAGCATGGCACAGCGCAGCAGGGGTCAGCGCAGCATGGCACAGCGCAGCATGGCACAGCGCAGCAGCGGTCAGCACAGCAGGGTACCAACCAGTGGGGCCGTGCGCGCAGTGCACCCAAAGCGGGCATGGCATGCCGTGTCCCCCTCTGTGTATGCCTCCACCTGCCTTGCTTCCATGTCAGGAAGGGATGGAGGGGGGGATGAAGGAGGGGGGGATGAAGGAGGGGGGGATGAAGAGGTGGAGGAGACAAGGAAGGGAAGGAGAATAGATGTTATCTAATGGAATCGGTCGGGCTACAGCTTTGAGGCAGGATGACGTTTAAAAGTGCTGATCAGACCTCTGAGGCAGCTAAGGTGTCTAGGACTCTAGTCTAGATGAACGGCTACAAAAACGCCAAGAAAAACGACTACAACAAACCGTAGATTAGAGCTGTGAGGAAGCTAAGGAGAATGACAAAGCAGTAGGATGGAGGGAGCGAGGGGGGGAAGGGATGAGTGGGGAGGGTGGGAGGGAGAGGGTGGGGAGGATGGGGAGGAGAAGCAGGATGCAACAGATGCGGCAAACTTGCTTACGGATGCAGTGAGCGATGCAGTGAGCGATGCAGCGAGCGATGCAGTGAGCGATGCAGTGCGTGATGCAGTGGCAGCAAACGGACATGAAGAGGAGCATGCACGTTAACTCTTGAGAGTTCCCAAAAGTAAAATTCACAAACCAGTCCATCACCCTTTTCCCCCCTTTTCCACCACCCACCACCCTCCCCCCACCTCCCTGAATGCACCTCTGTGATGCGCAGCACCACGTCGTCTCGTCTCAGCAGCTTCCCCAGCAGCAGCGGTGCTAGCTCCTCAGCAGGCCGGCAGCAGAAGGACGCCGGCAGACGCGTGTATGCGGAGGGAGGGGAGGCGGAGTGAGGAAGGGGAGTGGGGACGTCTCGTCTCAGTAGCTTCTCCATCTGCTCCCCTTCCATCGCGACCTCCTTCTCCTTCGCCTTCTCCTTCTCGTTATCCCTGTCCCGCCCGTTTCCGCCTCCCCCTCGAACCCCCTCCCCTCCTCTGCGCCGTCTCTTCCCCCTCCAGGCGCGCCCTTCCGCCGCGGCGGCAGCCGCGGCAGCAGCGCCGTCGGATATCGCAGATGAAGCCATCGCGACCGTCAGATGTGTCGCTGAAGTCTCCGCAGCTGCAACAGGGGTCGCAAGGCTTTTCAGTACCCATTCGTCTTTCCCGCCTGCGGTTGCGTCTCCGTCTGCGTCTGCGTTAGCGTTTACGTCTGCACCTGCTTCTCCTGTACGGACGCCGTTCCTTCCGCGCCTTTTCGCGCCACCTACGCTTTCCACTCCTGCTGTTGCAGCCGCAGCCGCCCGCGCCGCCGCAGATGCGACTCGCGCGGAAGATACTACAGCGCCTGCTCTTCTCCGGGGGCGGAGCGAATAGGCAAAGGAGGCGAATGTGTTGGCTGCGTCCATTTGTGAAAGGGGAAACGAGAATAAGTGCTACCCTGTTACGGATGCAATGAATCGAGGTAGCGAGGATTGCACTAAGGTGTCAAACGAGTACAAAATGTGAGCGAAGGCATGAGCGAACATATATACGCGTAACATGCAAACGGTAACGCACTGCGTGCGAGCTAGCTAGTGCTATGCTGGCAGCGAGGTTCGGGCTAGTCCCGAAGCGTAGGCCGACACGGCCGGGCCAGCAGTGCGATGTTTGGTGAAACAGTGCGCGCGAAGTCGTCGAAGCCCCGTTAGCAGTAACGGGCGAATAACGGCTGCTGCTGTGCGCGATGTTGTAGGGCGCGCTAAGGTGTCGAGAAAATCCCTTACACTACCCCCCCCTCAAGAAGCCCCCTCCGCTACGCGAGTGCGTGTATATCGCGGAAACCCCGGCTCCTCAGGTACACTTGCAGGGCAGGGTGGTTTTCGATGTTGGCCAGGGACACCCAGCTATCCTCAGTTGGCGTGTGGTCCTTCCAGCGAACGAGGAATTCAATCCTCTTGATTCCCGTAGGGTGTCGAATCCGATGGCTCAGGATTTTTTCGGGCTCGATGATCGGCTCCGATGCAGGGCGAGTCATGGATGGCGGGTGGTGACGAGGCAGTTGGCTTGTGGTTGGGATGTATGGGCGAAGCAGGCTGACGTGGAATGAAGGGATGATGTACCATTCTGTCGGCAACAGTAATTGTGCTGTCACTGGGGTAATAATGTGGCTGATTTGGAATGGTCCACAGTAACGCGGTCGTAATTTCGGTACGACGGGCAGTCTTAAGTTCTTTGTGTCGAGCGGTACGTAATCGCGTGACTGGTACGTGACTGGGCGGTGGTGACGGTCAGCATTGCGCTTAGCGATGACATTTGCCTTTTTAATTGCTTCAACGGCTCTGGTGCGAGCAGCTTGCAGAATTTCAGCGAATTGCTGTGCACGTGGCGTTGGGTTGTCCGGACTCGGCGTCATGGGCACTGTAGGGTTTTGCCCGTAGTTCAGGTAGAACGGGGACTGCTGCGTCGTCGCTGGCGTGGCATTGCTGTACGTGAACTCAATCAGTGGCAGCTGCTGCTCCCAAGTTGTCGGGTCGTCGCACGTGGCACGAATCAACTGCTCCATCATCTGATTCGTCCGCTCCGTTTGACCGTCTGTCTCGGGGTGGTACGACGAGCTGAACTGTAGCCTGGTCCCGAACTGCTCCCAAAGGTTTTTCCAGAAGTTGCTAGTGAGCTTCGTGTCGCGATCGCTGATTATTGCGGCTGGTATCCCGTGCAGTCGAACGACGGCTGCGATGAACAGGCGAGCGGCTTCTTCGGCTGAGATCGATTTCTTGCACGCAGCGAAGTATGCCATCTTCGTCAACCTGTCAACGACGACCATAACTGCGTCGTTACCCCCAGGGTTTGAAGGTAACCCTATGACGAAATCCATGGTAACCTGCTGCCAGGCACGCTCAGGCAGTGGAATCGGCTGCAACTGACCTGCCTTTCTTTTTCGCGAGCTCTTCATCACCTGACACATAGGACACGAGCCCACGTGATGCTGTACGTCGGTCAACAGCTCCGGCCAATAGTAATACCGCTGCAATTGCTGTCGCGATTTTTCTACCCCGAAATGTCCCGAGGTAATCCCGTCGTGTGCCTCCTGTAGTAACAGTTCCCTCAGTAGTGAGTACGCGGGTGCCCAGATGCGGTTGGTGCCTGTCCTTACGTAACAGACCCCTTTAGCTTCTGCCAGTTGCTGTAATTTTTTGGTCGTGGAAAATGGGTCGGTATTGTATCCGTGGGTGAATGGGCCTGTTAGTAGTGGGTTGGTTTGGGCAAGTAGGATGGCGTGGAGTTGGGCGGTGGGGCGTGTGAGTGCGTCAGCGATGTTGGATGCACCTTTTTTGTACGTGACCGTATAGTAGAAGTTGGACTCCAGATAGTCCAACCAGCGGATCTGTCGCAGGTTGAAATTCGGTTGGGCGCGAAGGTATTGTAGTGATCGGTGGTCTGTCCGTACTGTCACGTCTGCTCCCGTGAGGTAACATCGCCACACCTTGAACGCGTGCACGATCGCCAGCATCTCACGGTCGTGTATCGGGTGGTTGCATTCAGGCGGGTGAAGCTTGCGGGACTCGTACGCGATTGGCTGGAGGCCGTTCTCGAAGTCCTGCAACAGTACTGCTCCCACAGCGATGTCGCTAGCGTCGGTGACGAGCTCGAACGGACGGTGCGGATCTGCGATGTGAAGCACGGGCGGCAGCACAAAATATTTGTGAGGGCCGAGAAGGCAGCTTGCTCTTTCTTCCCCCACGTATACTCAACCCCCTTTCTCAGCAGGTCGGTCAACGGGGCAGTCAACTTCGCCATGTCGGGGACGAACCGGCGCACGAAGTTGACGAACCGGCGCTCGAAGTTGACAAACCGTAGAAAACTCTGCAACTCGGTCAAGTTGGTCGGCGCGTGCCATGCTTGAATCGTTGCAATTTTCTTCGGGCCTATTTCCACTCCATCAGCTGGAATGATGTGTCCCAAAAACTCCTGTCGTTCCTGTAAAAACTCACACTTAGATGCTTTGGTCAGTAGGCGGTTCTCACTCAGTATTTAAAAAACGGATTCGATGTCCTGTAAATGTTGTGCTCTGTCAGGGCTGTAATTCAGTATGTCGTCGAGGTACACAATGACGCACTTATCTAAAAGTGGGCGGAAAGCTTCGGAAAGTGGCGGGGGCGTTGGTCAATCTGAAGGGCACGACTGTGTATTCGAAGGATCCGTAGCGTGTTCGGAAGGCTGTCTTGGGGCAATCGGGTGGGTTGACGCGAATCTGGTGGTAACCTCCTCTGAGGTCAATTTTCGAGAAAACTCGGGCTGTGCGCAGTTGGTCGATCAGTTCGTCGGCTCGCGGGATGGGGTAACGGGATTTGATGGTAACGCTGTTCAGTGCCCTGTAGTCTATGCACATGCGAAAACCCCCGTCCTTCTTCGGCGTGAACAGTATCGTTGCTGCGAAGGGCGACGAACTCGGGCGAATGAATTCTTTTTCGAGCAGGTAGTCTAGCTGCTTTCTCAGTTCGTCCAGTTCGGGTTGGGTCAGTCGGAACTGTCGTTGTAAAGTCGGCTGTGCCCCCGGTTCTAGTTCTATCCTGTGGTCATGCGGTCTCTGAGGTGGCAGTCCCGTCGGCAGATCGTCCGGAAATATTTTGCTGTACTGCTTCAGGAGTGCTGCCAAGTCATCCGGTACGTCGGCTAGCAGTTTCTGTAAATCCCCCCCTTTGACTGCTGCCTCGGCTTCCCGAATGTCAACCGCGTATACCGTCATACCCCGGATATAAGCGCCACCCTCGGATAAGCGCCTCGCGCTTTTAATTGGCGTGTGGCGCTTATATCCCCTGCTCGATTATAAGCGCACCCCCTGAAAAAACTTGTTTTATTATTAGCGCACGTAAACTTTAAAATTTGGAATGTGTTCAAAACGCTGTAACGATTTTTACTTTAGCAGGCGGATGTGTTGCAGATTCGGTTCCCTTCACATTCGGACCCTGCACTGGATGCGGGTCCAGTCAGCAGGAGCTGTCAGGAGCTGGATGTGAGTCAGATTGGGTGTATCTCCCTCCGCGCGCGAGAATTTCACAGACGACCCCATGTAACTTCGACTCGATTGAAAAGGCAAGCACGAGATCTACAGTTTGGTGTTAAGAAATA